GTCAAGTTTCGAGCTAGCAAGCCTAGGCGAGACCTAGGAGTAAAAATGTGTACAAAAATTTCTTATTTTAATTTTAATCAATCTAAAAATATCTAATAATTAAAATAATATTTACAAAACATCTAAAATTATAAAATACTATATTTACTTAATAATTCCTACAATTAGCAAATTATATAATTTTCAAGTCTTCGAATTGCAAAAACTAGACTATTTTTCATAGTTTCAGCTCTCAACTAGACAAGTCNCTCCAATGAAGATGAATATTTCACATGGATGAGTGTGCATCTTTATGTTAGGTGTTCTTCTGTCGTGTAACCCAGCGACTTATGAGAGACCTGTGGTCCACACCTCCTATTTGTTTAGGGTGGGTGGTACGAACTCTGATTTGATTCAGGTATTCAATCTTGCCGTTGAGATGCTGAGTTGAATCCTTAACTTTGATAGGAAGATGACTTATTGAATAATTCATGCAATCTGATACGACTAGAAATCATATGGTAATTAAACTGTTGCAACTTAAGATTTATCCCCATCTTAAATTCATCTACTAAATTTGATGACTAACTTATAGGGGAGAATTTCATATTGGATACGATTTGTAAACTCATGCTGAAAATTTAAGACTTTCATAGAGTAGGAAAATTCGATCACTATTATCACTATGTTTCATACTCGTAACCAATTAATTACACATACAATAGTGATATGTCTAATAGAACTTATTTTCTCTGTAAGCAACACTATAATACTTTCAAAGTGAAATTGGCTTTGATCTACTAGCATGTTACATTAGACTCACGTCCCTCCAAGTGAAATTTTTTTTGGGTACCCCTTTCAGGGAATAAGAGTTAAAATAAACAGCTAATATTACTTTTTGATTCGTTGGTTGTCATACCGTCTTTTCACGAAAATGTTCATAAACAGCCATCATGAATAACATGAAAGGTTTAAAAGAAGAATAGTGTACAACATTGGTATGTGTTGTCAACATCCTAATATATGATGTAGAAAACAATTTTTTAAAATAAATGGATATGATGATACCAAATATGATGTTGTCAACTAATATTATCAACCAATGTTATATATGTAACATGATTCATAAAAGAATTTCAACACCNTGATTCATAAAAGAATTTCAACACCCAGGTAAAAATAAAATAATCAAAATTAGGAGATGACTATCTACCTACCAGCATGTTTGTTCCCCACATTCCACACGTTTTATGATGTGTTTTTTTGCCCAACATTGCTTTCTCATTTAAACTTATCATATTCGTTCACAAGTCATTTTCAATCAACAGAAGTCACATGAAACTAGAAAACAAACCAATATCCTTAAAACAAACCACAAATTAGTGTCAACATCATTTTGCAACTTGCATTCTTTCCTTTAGAAACAATCCATTGTCTACCAGTTTGCACTAATATGAAAAAATAATTTTCTCCTAATAAATATGTACCAACAACAGAAAGATTGTTCATTCTTTTTTTGCTCTCTTTTTTTATGTCATGGTGGTTCTTTTTATTGTGCTTAAAAGTTGCTTTTTGAAGAAAAAATTAGAGCTTACTTTCAAAAAAGTAAAATTTGCTAGTAAAAAAGTACCTTTGACATCTACATTTGACAAAACAAGTAACTTATGTTTTAAGTACAGCCTAAGCTTGCTGATAGTACTCTCATTTGTAAAAGAATCACGTCATTTAATTAAACCTTCAAGGAGACTTTGAATTGAATGGAAAGTTTAACATAGAACGGATAGTCGACTATATACTTATTCAAACATGTTACATGTACATTGTTTTTTACATTAACTTTGATGTCCTTCCACATGACACCTATCTTGATTTTTCTAACACCCTTTCACATCACTAGCCAAATTTGACACATAGGAGGAATGTCATCTTTAGTGTAAACAACTATGTACATTGAATATTAAGAAAAACACTCAAATTGTTTCTAAAACACTTAGGGCCTGTTCTCTTTCGTGTTTTCGGGCCGTTTTCTATTTTCAATTTTCCAAAACGGTGAAAACGCGTTCTCTTTCCCATTTTCCAAAACGAATTTTTGAAAACAGAAAAAATTTTGTACACGAAATGGAAAACGGCCAAAACATCGTTTTGGCCGTTTTTAGGCCAAAACTCTCAAAATTGAGAAAACACGGGAAACGCCTCATTCCTCTTCATCCACTGTGCGTGAGAGACAGAGACCATGGAAACCCCCCGCCTCCTTCCTCAACAATCGACCACCAGACGCCACTACCGTTCGATCCCCCTCTTCAACCTCGTCATTACCTAGCCCATGGAGTTGCAGAAAACAGCCCCACTCACCCCCCAAAATCGCGCTACCAGTCTCGGTGTTTGCAGTATTTCCCCCGCCGTCGGCCAC